TATATAATATTTACCGTGTAACTTTTTTATTATCTGAAGGGATATATGCTTTCAAACAACGTAAAAGAAATCCCATAGGTAATAATGGATCTGACAGGCAAAGCAATCGCGAAGGTGATAATACAAAATCAACAAGTACTGGTGTATATGCCATAAATATTCCATCAGGTTTTCTAATATTTAATTGTAAACATTTTAAAGTAATTCCCAAGTTTAAATTGGCCCCAGCAGAATCACCTATTAAAAAATTGTATTATTTATATGCAAATATTAAATATATTAAAAAAAAAATGTGCATAAAGATATATTAGGAAAATAATAACATGCAATGCTTTACATCTTACCAGCAAGAAGTATTTTTTGAGCTGTACTTCCAAGCAATGTACTTGCATGATTTAAAGCCCATGCATATGCATATAGCACTTCTTCGAGCGCACGAGGAAATGGAGCTTCAGGCGCTAAACTGTAATCTATACTTAAAATAGGTATACCAAGACTTATGGCCCAACCACGTAAATATGTTTCATGAGATAAAGAAGTTTGTGCTACAAAACCTCCACCATGACAATGAATTATCAATTCATTGGACAATCCATGCAATTCTCCCCCTACTCCACCTGAACCAACCTGAGAAAAGCATGTACTGCACAGGAGTGAAACTGATGTTTCACAAAAATTTCTACTTTATTAAAGGAAATGTGGAAAGGAAAATAATGACTAAAAATAATAATAGTGCTATTTATATGAAATAAATAAATCATCTCTTTACCATTCCTAAACGACGTTTAGAACTTAACAGTCTAACATGTATCGGCTTTTTTCCGATATGACTATTTGGTATAGGAATTGATATAGTTGATCCATTTAATGTAGAAAGTGTCAACTCTTCAGGTGGAATAGAAATTACTTGATTTATTGCCAAAGAAGAAGATGTTATAGCAGGCAATTTCCGTGCAATATCTAAAATGTATAACTTATATAATATATATAATATATATTAAAACAATTATCAAAATAAAACAAGCAATTATTACATTTAAAATAAATTATATATATATATATATGTTATGATTGAAAATCACAGTATATTACCAGTCTCATTCAGAAACCAAAAAGCTTGACAAAATGAAATGTCAGCACGTTGAGATACATCGACGATACGACGAGCTCTTATTTCAGGATCTAACATATATTTGACAGAATTAGCACATCTTGCTAACAATGTACCATTAGCATAAAATGCTTCACTGAATGTTGCCATACAAACCAGTATAGTCTTTAAAATAGGTTTTAAATTATCATGAAACTGAAAATATTTTTCATATTTACATATTTCACATTTTTATATTTACTAGAAAATGAAAAAATAGTGAATCATTAATTAGATATGTTTTTATCATTACCTGAAATCCTAAACATCTGCCATAAAAACAATACTGATTTATGGTTTCTACTTTATTTAAAATTTCATGAGGATTATGATTATCGCCTATAAAAAGAGATGGTTTTCCATCATTTATATATTCACTCCATGAATAAAGAGTTTGTAAATGTTCTAAGCAAGTGCACAAAGATGCCAACAATTGTGAGCAAGCCTCAATTTCCCTATAAATATTTGTACTTATTATTGTTAATATAATTTTAGATACAAATATAAATATATTCAATAATTTTTTTAAAACAAATCATAATTACCTCATGTGATAGCTTTTACGAAAAAATATAGAATCTTTTTGACAATATATTTGATGACAGATTGAACGAGAATGAATAATGCATTTGTCTATTAGCACCAGAAAACTTCTATATCCATTACCAGGTGTTTGCACATCAAGATCAAACATTGGTGCAATTCTACTAATTTCTTTATATAATGGTTGCAATTGTATCAAATGATCTAATATAGCCATAAGTGCAGCTCTAATTCTAATACTGTTCTCATCTTGATGTGGCATGAAATATTCTGCATTAGCATGACATAATTCCCGTAATGCTCCCCATTGTAAAGGCTCCACATCTTCAAATGGTCTATCAAAGTCATCATCGAGTGACATTTGAGCTGTGTCTTGTTTATTCATTTAGCAATAAATTTTTTATTAATTATTTTAAAACAAACAATAATTGTAGAATCTATAAAAGTAAAAAAATCACATTGCTATCTATCGGTAAAGACTAATATTTTTTTAGTAATGCTATTTTTCAATAATTTAAGTATAAAATACTTAAAAATTGTTTAAATGAATATCTTCATAATTAATAGTAAATATTAATACCTTTCAAAATTCATCATATTAACATGTAAGGTTATCAAATTTAAGATATTAAAGATATTCAGGTCACTTATTAATTATTTTTTATGTTCTGATTTGCACTACATTATATTTACATTATTAAAATCTTTGTATACGTCATACTCTGATAATGTTGATTTTTATTTTGGATTTGACATTTCCTAGATATTTATCGTGGACGCCATATTGTTTTTTCGATCGATAGTATTATCTCACAATACAATCTTATAATATCACGCACTAGTACGAATTAAATGTTATTGACTTTCACATGTGTTCAACAATGAATTATAACTACTACTAGTAACAAATCGCTTAAAGAATATACATGCATATAGCTGTAAGTGAAACTTAAAATTCGCTTATTATTCTATTTATATTAAAATGAAAATTAATTTTTTCGTTTAATTTTAATTCAAAATTAAATGTAATATTTACAAGTACACAATTTATAAAAAACAAATTTTTTATCAATCAATCGCACATAATTATTAATTAAAATACATTACATCATATTAATAAAAATGTTGAATATTAATATTTTATCAAATACTTATGAATTTTTATTGCAAACTGATTATAATATCTTGTAATAATAATTATTATGATAAAGTATCAATTAATATATATCAATGGATCAGTTATTTTATAACTAATATAAAAAAAAATACTTACCAGACATATACTGCCAGACGTTACTGTTTTATAATGTTAAAGAAACGAAAGTAACGTACATCCGTTTCAATGCTAATTTTGTCAGATTGGTGAATGACAAACAATAATTTGTGATTCAATGGTCGTGATTCTTGTGTATTAAGCAACCAGTCACGACAAATGAATTAATCATAAAGATATATTAACGATATCTAAGTATGGAAAATGATTCTTGGTAATTTTATTATCTAATTTTTAGTGTAAAACATATTTTTATATTACATTTATATAAATACCAAGTATTTCTGATTTATATACAAAATTATACATACATGAATTAACTATTACATATTTTAATTCATTATATGATCTTATTTAAAATTCAATAATTTTTTTAAATTTATAAAAAAAGTAACTTTTTAACATTAACAATAATTATATTATTCAATTAAATTAAATATCAATCAATTTCAATTATTATTCCATAAGAAAAATTTTTAAGAAAATATTGAACAGAATAAGAATATTTCATTTAATATCGATGTTGAAGAATGATTGACATTCAATTAGTAATTATCTTTGTAATTTATTTATTGATAAGTAAAATTACATATATCCACAAACACAATACGTTCTTTTCACGGAGTGTATTAATGCGATAAAATTTGTGAGTGGCGAGGAGAAATTCTTGTGTAATGGAGAGAAAGAGGGAGACGAGGAAGTTAGTTTAATTCTCCGGTTAGTAATTAATTTTTCTATTCGTCATAGAAATGTTTTATAATAAACGTGAAGTTTCCGATCCTACAATTAAAAGCAACTTAAAAAGTTCATCATCTTTCTTCGATTTAAATTGTGTATCATTTTTTATTATTTGTGTATTTTTATTTTCAACCAAATGAGCGATATTTATGAAATATCAATTTTTATCTAATCCGACGTTGATTTCATTTTGCGTCAATCAATCCGTTTATACAAAACAAAATATTTTATTATTAATCAAATGATTCAATTGCCGATAATTAAAACAATAATGAATAATGCAACAAAAATATGTAACATAAAAATATGATGATATCAAGTAGAACTTTAATTTAAACATAAAATCACTTTGTTTTAAATGCTAACAAATGCGTAAGACGTAAGATCGAAAACTATATATAGCGCTGTGTATAGGCGTGTAAATACACGAGTATTGATATATTGCACGTACAATCGGATTCTTGTATTTCATCATTATTACGATATTAAAGTTCATTAAAGACACGATAAAATCGTAAGAATCGATCTATACCGAAAGAACTGCAAAAATAAAGTTTAGTTCCGTTATTATTCCCATTTTCGCCAACTTCTAAATCCGAACCGCTACGCAAAGGACGTATTATTTTTTTCTTTTGTTCCTTCATTCTTATTTTTTTCTTCTTTCTTTTCCTCACTTCTCACATGTCTTTTTTCCATTTATTTTTCTTTTCTTTAAGCTAAAGTTTAATTAATTACGGTAAATATTTATTACCTCTTTACAAAAATCAATTCTTAAACTTATACAAAGTGACTCGATGCAAATTCACAATATCTTGAAGTGAAAAAATGACATGGCTCTATCGTTAAAACGAATAGACTAAAAACTGATATGCTTCTAGTTTTCAAGCTTGAATATTGATGATTAATTTTTCTTTAAATTCTTTGATCAATACAATTATAATTGGAATAACATTATATGTTCTCGTATGCTACTCGAGTATTCTTTTATCAAAACTCCATTGGAATGGATATTCTTTTTTTTTTTTGCCATGTACAAAATTTTGTTATTACTAATTCAAATTTTTTATAATTATGTTATTTAAAAGATGGTATACGAGATAAATTTGGCAAGCATTACAGGTGCTATTCGCATCATATCTTTTGACAAATATAATATATGATAAACAATAGCACATCCGCCAACGTAGGCCAATTGTCATATAGTCGCATACCATCTTCATTCTTTTTTTTTTATTTTACATTAAATAAAAATTATAATTGGAATAATTATTACAATTAAAAAAAAAATAGCATTGTTTTTTTTTCTTTTTCTAGAGACAACAACATGTTTTCTTCATCAACATCTGTGAATCCGTATCAAGTCAAATTTTTTTTATTACGCGACGTGTCAATGTTTTTTTTTTTGTCATTTAACGACTATATGCTATAGGTACATAATGTATAGTTAATTTGATAGGTGTACATGTATATGCATATGTATATATATATCTATGTATATATATTGTTCATATATTACACACACACACACACACATACACACATGAACATATATATTTATATATATATATATATATAGATATTTATATTATTATTAACGCATTGATGCTATGCTTTTGTTGTATCTCCATAGACATATGGTTAATTGCTATCATTTTAATATATCTAAAATAATATTTTTAACACTCAGCGATGCGCGAATGTGTGTGCCTGTGTATATATTTTTTTCGTTGGCTCGTTCTTCCACCGGAGTTGCGTGAGACAGTCTACTATGCTCGCTAAATAGGAAGGCAGCTGCTTCACGTGCGCTTAGGAATCCAAGGATTATTGTTCAACGTCCTCGGTTTGCGCATCCGTTTAATTTATTTTAGCGAAATTAACATAATAAAACAAATAATTTTATTGTAATAAAAAAAAAGTGAGAAGGAAAATATAATTTTTTGATATAAATAGTATCTAAATAAAAACATCTTAAACCATCGTTAATAACATAACACTTGCGCGACTAAAATTATTGTTACTCTTTGTTATAATTATATAAACACTTATCAAATTGATATATGTATATATATATATATGTGTGTGTATTAATATAATTAATTTATTGATACAAAGAAATATAATATAAATAAAAAAACGTGCAATATTTATTAAAACAAACGAAAGCTATGCTTTCCCACGCGACCCTGGCTAAAGCGCAGCCTACTATCTTTTGACCATATACAAATATATAAGCATTAAACGTGTAATATATTATCGTCATCATATATAATTAATAATCCTAAGATAGTTATTGTATGAACCATCTTTTGAGAGAAAAAAAAAATTGGTGAAATAAAAAAAAAAGACAGAAACACGCTTGCTTTTAACATTCGCCACTTATTCGACCTAAATCTGAGGTACTAATGCCACTCAAAAAAACTCCTGTGTTGAACTGTTCCTCTTATTCGGCAACCTCGACGTGATTCTTTCGATTCGTCCGTTTTCGATTAAGAAACACGACGATAACTCGGCCGAATCGAACAAAGCTACCGAATATTTTCCGTGCATACATTCGGGCAGCACCTCGATAAGATAGTGGACATTTGTTATGGAATGATAAAATATCTTGCTTCTCATAATAACTTTAGATACGTTCATGATTCAATTTCTTATAAGTATAAAGTTGTATAATCTAAGTAGACGTTAAGTACTGAAAAGGTCGCTGAAAAAATCAGGCAGTGGGAATCGAACGGAGATGAAAAAACAGCTGCAATCACGAAGGTGAACGTGCATTGATCGCCGTTCTGATATTTTAAGAGTATCGTAGAGCATACACTTTTGCATAGTGCTATGTAATATGCTTATCATGTTTTTTTTTTTTTTTAAATCGGATTATATTTTTATGCTGTGTAAGCCGCTACCGCTGCTAACATTTTTTTCTTATTTTCATTGTATTATTTAAGCTGCATTTACTTTTTATTGCCATTTACTATCTCGAAAAATATCAGAACTTAGAAATATACAGCAAAGAGCGCAACAGCACGCATATTATGAATGCGTCATCACGAGATACGTTTCTTCTAACGCACACGCATTTCCTATTGCTGAAAAAACAATGTCCGTAATTGATCATAGTCCACAGCCTTCTAATTGAAGGATATCGCGTATAACATTAATGAGTGATGATTCTTTTTTTTTTTTTTTTTTTCTTTAGATTTGTTTATGAGCGCTCCTTCCTGTGTTTATTTGTTTATTTATTTTGTTAATAACATGTATGACAAACGAAAACAACGTGTATGAGATACTTCCGAAGACAACATTACGCCCTTCCCATATGGCACATTGGCATGTTGTTTCCCTTTCGAATTGTCTTGTAGATAATTCTGATACGAGTGTATAATCGACTCATAACATTTCTATCTACTAGATGTTATATGAAAATTGCTTTATATATATTCATAAATCGTTATGTTTCGTATAACGTCGCGAGTTATTATAAAGAGACGTGACACATAATGATATCGTATCGCAATACCTATTCGTCTATGGACAGATTTTATTCCATATATCACTAAGACATAGATTTTATATATTTTCGGAATCTTCGGAAGAACCTCGAACCTGAATATCTTACACTAACAAAATACTATGAGATTCTTGAAGAACATACGCGAGAACGGACAATTAAAGATCAATTTCAAATAAAATCTCTTGTAGACCGAGGTGATTAAATTATTCTTTGATCTCGAAATATTTATATGTAGGATTTTCATATCCATTGATTTGCATATTTGCAACATGCCGCTCCTCTGGTGTGGCCGCTTGATCAACTTCAATAAATCCCTGTTTGACGTTAAGAATAATAATTATTATTAATATAATTATTATTAATTTTTCTAATTAATTAAAATTGCATTTTAGGTATACCTGACTATGAGGGCTTCTTGCACTGCGTCTTTTGAATACTGCTACACCTACCACTGCTGCAGCCATAAGTGCAATTCCAGCAAATGCAAGTGTAAAGTAGACAGATCGACTTTCTCTGTGATACATCTCCCTTCTTACAGAATAACCCTATATCGTAAATAAAATAGAAATATTTTTTATATCATGGTCTTTCTTATAAATATTTCTTATAAATATTTTTTTTTTTTTCTAGCGATATTATCTAACTATATTTACCGGTTCAGAATGGGAAATGTCATGTGTCAAACTATGAGCTGCCCTAACAAGTCCTTCACTGTGCATAGCTGCCGGTTGCTCTGGTTGTTGTTGAATATCTTTATTATCATTTATCGAGTCGCTTTCTTCTTGTTGTGCTTGTTCTGTACGTAATTCACCACGTTCAGCTTTGCGTTGCTCCTTGCGTGCTCGTTCCAGTTGTTTTTGATGTTCTTTTTCTACAGATTCAATGGATTTCATTTAAACATAGTCGATATTATACTATGTTGTATTTCTTTTTCGTTTATTAAATTTTAAAATTACCTTGTTGCTTACTGGTAACGTCGGCCTGATATTTATCTAAAATGGCTGCTTCCGCTTCTCGTGTCATCGCTAACAGCAGTCCAGGAGTCTCATCTTTGCTCCTGAGGGCCAAAACGTAATCATCCATAAGGCGGCCAATTTTTGCGCTTAAATCAGGATACCTAAATATAATGAATGAAATCCTCCATATAGTATTCTATTAAATCAAAGTATATTTCTTTCTGCTCTGTCAAAATCTGGAATCTAGTATTCTGAGACGTTGACGTTACTCTATATCGACGGACATATTACCGTTCTAACATCAACAGGCTCTGATTGGTGATTCTATCGATTTCCGCCAAGTGCTCCAAAGTTGCTGGTTTTTCACGTTGAGCTTGTTCCAAACTGCTGTCCAGCAGATGTTTGTAATGAGCAATAGTATGGTGCCTATCTTTGTGAAGAGCACGAAGCAACTTTTGGAGACATTTTTGAATGCGATGCATCTAAATAAAAATAAATATAATAAATTATTTGCGATTGGGCAAAATACTTGAAAAACTTACATTTGGTGGTGTCTCGTTCAAAGCAGCTGTATAACATGACATCGCTTCTTCGTTCCTTTGTTTAACAGCTTCCTATAAATTGATAATATAATAAATATTATATTGTATGTTATATAAATGATATATAAATTATAATTAAAATCAAATAATAAAAAAATAGAAAATTTTTTCAAAATTTTTAAATTATACATTATTTTATTTGAATCAAATTAGAATTTTTTTTTTAAATTTCAATATTGTAGGAAAGGAAAATTATTTAAAAAATTTGAAGATATAATATTTAAATTAAAAAAATATATATATACATAAAATAAATATATAATACAAACTAAATTAATTTAATAAATCAATAAAATTAATATATTTATTATATTTCATTTTTATCTTCAAAGATAAATGCAACATTCATCAAATATCAAAAAGATTCCAATTATATAGTGTATTTCAGAAAGATATAAATCTACATGAAAAATTAAATGGAAAATATAAAATGACACTTTTTCAAAATTCAAATTAATATTGAAAATTTAAATATATGTTCAGTTATAACATATGTTATAACATAGTGCCTATTTTTATTTAATAAATATCATTATGCTTATATCTTTTTTTTCTTTTATTATGATATGTGCATATTAAAGTCATTTTAAATACAATTTACCAATATCACTTTCAATTTACTTTCTCATGTAGATTGCTCATTTTTTTAACTTTTATCATGATAATATGATCAATTTTGAAAATACTAGATTCGTACACCAAGTATGTTTTTCAGTTATTTAAATTTATCGATAAAAATTTTCTTTCTTAAACGAAAAATGTTCGCCACTTGCATCCATTATTCTAAATCACATACTTGTACTCTTTGCTGATGCATAGCGCTTAATTGATGCTTCTCCGCGGCACCGCTCTCTTCTAGAGCAGCAACAGTTTCCTGGAATCGCGCGGTCATCCATCGTTTGAAAGCATCAGCAGCAACTGGGTCGTGGGCACGAATATCCTGATACTTTTCCTCGAGATCACTCCAGTCCTTCATCACCTGAAAACGTTGTAGCACAAAGATTTCGACACTAGTGTCCCGCGAGATAATAGCTATCTCTCGAAACTCGATTTTACGTCTTCTTTGATACGCTGTTTCTTCAAATTCAATTCGTTTTCTTCGAAAATCATATAATTTAAAATCCAACGAAACTAAAATAAAATCAACATAAGCAAAAAAAAACGAAGATAATAACTTAATAAAAATAATACTTTTTCTTGTGTAAAAAGTAAGAGAAATTAGAATGAGATAGATGGTATCACCCGCTTACTTTTGTTACTTTCTCCTTGTGCACCTCTTCGAGCCTCATTTGTGCTTGCTTGTAGCTCTGGTGCTCAGAACGAGGATCGAAATGAGTTAGATATGGATCCGGTGTGCTCTGTGATTGCGAAGATTGTTGTGTGCTCGTACTAACTGGCAATGGCATTGCAGTTACGTCTTGTTTCGGTTTTTCCGTAGTTGAAACTGTTGTTGATAATCGACTGGACAAAATGAGCATACAATTATTTATATTAATACCGCAAGAAACATTGAAACATTTGAATTTAAATAAAAATAAAATATTAATATAATTGTTGATCAAAAATATGGACAAGTGTTGGAAAGAGTTATTATGATGGGAATCTTCGTAGAGATTTTATAAATTATATTATATTATATTATATTATAAATTATATCATTGCAATTATGCAAACAATAAATAATTATTAATAGAGGCATTAATTAAGCATTAATATTGTTAAAGATTATTTAATTAAAATATGAAATTAATGAATTACAATAATATTAACATAGATAGATGTACTAATATTTGCAGAAATATGAAATAATATATATTTATTTGAATTATTATAATCGAAATTATTATAATTGAAATAGAAAATCAAATATCAAATTCAGGATTAGTTTAATGCAATTATTTCTATACGAAAGATTGGAAGAATTTCTGTTCCTAGTGAAAGTATAAATCGCTTATATAATCTTCCGAATGTTAAAAATAACTAAACGTAGTTAATAAATTCCATTCTTTTGTGATTTTAATTCCTTCTGCAAGCGAATACAGCTCGATAAATTCTCGCATAAAGATTCTTTTTTTTTTTTTTTTTACATTAACATAATTTATAATAATTTATATTTTTATATAAATAATTTAAAGTTGTTTCGTAATGTTTAATTTTTTAAAATTCTGTTAAAATATACAAAAGTTTTATCATTACTAAATCAAATTAATATCGATTTACCTTGTTGTAGTGTCGTAATTGTAATCATCATTGAGATATTCCTCGTCACTTTCATCATCATCAGGTTGATCATTGAGTCCATCTTCGGGATCAGCTTCAGAATCATCTTCATCATCTGCATCAGTGTCCAAGCCATCATCGTCTTCAAGGTCATCTTCATCTTCGTCGAGATCTTCGTCCACACCCTTTGGAATCGGCAAGTCGATCGGTTTTTTGGCTTTCAAATTTTCTGCAAATTGTAGGTAAATGTTAATAGATCTTTAAAATTGTTGAATTTATTGAATTAATTTTCTGCTCATTTATTTTTAAAAGGATCCTTTTAAGAATAGAAATGTAAAAAAAATAGCCAAGAATTTATATAATATTTGTTTTTTTTTTTTTTATAACAAGACATAATAATAACAATTTTTATTTCCTACTTACAATATAATTCCAATCAATTTTACAATCATTTATTAATTTTAGAAAAAAATGCCAAAAAATGAATTTTAAAGAAGTGAATATTTTATTATCATTTAACGTATATGATATTTTGATGAGTGACATGATGATAAAGTTCAAGATCATATTTAAAATCAATGATAATATGATATTAAGCCAAAAACTAACATATAAAATATAAAATATTCAAAAGCATATTAACATATTTACAATATTAATATAAATATATACTTACGCTTTTAACTAAAATAGAAAATATATTATCAATTATTTTGAATATATTCAAATATATTCGTTTTGTTTTTTCATAATAATTTCAAAAAAATATTTATGTAACAGTACATAAATTACAATTAGTAAAATGATAAATATAATTAGAAAATTTTATTAATATCAATTATTGATTAGAATAACATTGATTAGAAGTTATCAATACGAAACTATGTTTTTAATTAATTAATTTCACTTTAATTTCATTATTAAATATTATTGAATATTACTGAAAATACAAATTTTAATTAAAGTATAAATTTTATATTTTCAAATTCATAATTTATTGATTTATTATTTTCACAAATATTTGCTCAGTTTCAATCAATTGGACAAAGGAAATGTCATCAAATATAATAAATAAAACAAATTTGTTTTATTTAGAAAATTTATCTCAAAATATTGTTTTTAAATCATATTATTTGTAAATAAATTACAGTTTTTTATTTATTCAAATAAATAATAATAAAAAAATATCAAATAAACAAAATTATTTCATTGTTTCATTCAAATAATGAAATAATTTAAAATTAAACCATTTTTTTATTCAATACAATTATCAAAGAATTATTTAATTTTATTAAAAAAAAAAATATTATCTCAAAATTAATATTTTTAAATTATACATAAAATCTCTCCCAGTCGCTTGAAACATTCAACAATTAACAATATCCAAAACATAAGAAAACCTCGACGAACAATCAATTTTCCAACATCCATTCGACAAAGATTTAAATGCATACATACATGAAAGAAAAATAATAATAATAATAATAAAATAAATAAATTAAAATAAAATAAAATAAACTTCAATTCAATTCTTTTTAAGAAAGAAGACACAGGACTTAATTTGCATAGCAAAGGTAAAAGCTTCCTCGATAATGATACTGGGCGTAGAACAAATGCAAATCGCGTGCTACATGGTGGCGCGCATTTCGAAATCCGCCCCCTAGTGGTATGCAACCACCGCGTGCCATCCGCGATTTCGCGTCCCTTCTGCACCGTGAAAAACTCTAATTTGTCTCTGTTATGTTGAAGAGGACAGCCGTCTTGACTAACTAGGTTCTCGAGATGTCCCATTCTCCGAGAATAGACACGCTGATGAGCTGACTTCTCGAGTTCTGCAAAGGCAGACAAAAGC